TGTCCACATATCCTTTTCAACTCTGTACCTCACCTATCTTAGACACAGTTCAGTATCTTGGTTTAGATAAAAGACTAACATGAAACCCATATACCAGACTTAAAAGATAAGAACTTAACGGACGATTTGGCCAGTTATACAGACTACTTAACAGAAAATCCAGCCTATCAATTGAAAACGAACTATTGCTATACAAGAACATACTGAAACCCATCTGGACCTACGGACTTGAACTGTGGGGGACAACTAAATTTTCGAACATCAAACACATCCCAATCCTTCCAGTCTAAAGTCCTCCGTATAATAGTCAATGCTCCTTATTATGTTACTTTACATCATGATCTTTACATCCCTTATGTTCTTGACGTTATTCAATCTCAATTCTCATATTTTCACCTGAACCTAATCAACCATTCTAATCCCTTAGCTCAATCCTTATCCAGTTCAAGTCATACATACAATCCTCCTCGAAAGTTGAAACAGCTGTGGCCTCGAGATCTTTTGTAAAGACGTTATTGGAGTCCTGGCAATGGCCAGCTTCTCCAATCAAGTTATGAGCGTATGTGGCTTTAGTAGTGCCCTTTCTCAGTCTCCACTGAATCCCCATCCCAGTGATGCGGCTGAGAGAGAAGCACTGGGATCTCTTAGTCTCGCCATGTCCTTTAGAGGTGGGGGAAAGGGCTGGACTCAGTGCTCCCTCGGCTGATTGTAAATATTGTAATTAAGTATGAATGTTTTCTTGAATATTTAATAGTTGACCGTTGCATTATAAAGGAACTGATGTTCTAAGTGAAACTCCTAGATGAACACACCTCCCTGATGAAGACCTGCAAAGTCGGGTCGAAACGTTGGCTTTCAATAAAATAGTTTTACCACTATTTAGCCTTTTTATGACCGCAACCCCGGACCCTCTCCTTCCTTTATGAATGTTTTCCTTTTTAATCTATTTATTTCTATCACTTATATATATATATATATTTTTTTTTTTTTGCTACGAATTTCTGTATTTTATTTAATCATCAAGTTACATTATTTTATCATCAAGTTACATTTCCTTTTTTTTTTTTTTAAATTTTATTTATTTTTTTTATTGTTTTTGCCTTGTTATATAGCTATATGTTTATTTAATTGATTTTTTTTTTAAATTTTTTATTTTTGTATAGTACATATTGTATGAATGAGCCTCACTCAGCTATAGTACTCAGTGCCATTAAGTGTGGCAAAATGTACTATTTCTCAATAAAAAAAATATGTATCAGAATATTGATGCCACATAACAAGCTTAAATGCCCAATGTTCAATATTTCTTCCTACAAGGACCATTAATTTGATTTATTTTAAATAATTAATCCTCTCAACTAGGTAAAAAAAATGGGTATGTATAAACGACATATAGGACATAAAAATTTCTGCAGGAAAAAACTAACGTGGCTTGTTTTTCTGCCATTTATTTTAATTTTCCATTTGTGGTATTAGTTATCCAGAGAAATGGTTTTGAAGAAGAAATGATGCAATAGTTGCGAATTTATTGCGAAATTTCTTAGTATTATCTATCTTTTAATCCAACATTAAATCTTCTTGAAATATTGTATTTAGGTTATTCAATCTTCTTTATTTTTGTTATTATTAATAAATATATCGATTGTTAAGAAGCGATACAGTAATCCCTGGTTATCGCGAATGGTTATATCTGTTTTAGAAGTCACAGAACACGATTATGATGTTTTAAAGGATATATATATATTTTTATTATTATTATTTCTTAATGATGTTTACAACTGTATGAAATAAATACATCAAGTAAATTTGAACATAATGGATATAATGGCATGAAAACAGTTGCTGAGTAACTACTCAATGGTGACACTCTAATGATATGTCTACATTAGGAGATCACGAGACCATTTTCTTTTCAGACGCCTCGGAGGGTTATCAGGAATTGAAGAGAAAGCAAGGTTAGAAACGAGAGAGTTGTGAAGATTTTGACGTTTATTATGGAAGGATAGGTATCTGGATTGGGCCAGATCTGAAACAAAAGAAACGTTAAGGTCATTATGGATTGGTTTTGTTTGTAACAGAGTAGGGAGCATTGAGGATTTTACGAAGGATTTTGGATTGTAAGGATTGGATACGAGAGGAATTCGATGGTTTAGTGGAGCCCCATAGCTCATCTCCGTAAGTCCAAATAGGTCTTATTATAGTCAAGTTTATGAGTCTTTTGTAATTAATTGGAAGTATAGAGCATTTGTCTAGTAAGTGCTGAAGTAATCGGAAACGTCGAGTGGTTTCTTGTCGTTTCAGTCTAGTATGAGGATTCCAAGTTAGTCGTTTGTCCAGGTTTAGTCCTAGGTATCAGATTTCCTGTAGGACAGGAATTCATTGGTTTACAACGATCGAGGATATTTGATTTTTTTTTTTTTTTTAATATTGTCTTTCTTTAGTTGTTTCTGTCCAGTTTGCTGCAGCAACTTTTTTTTTTATCCATCTAGTTTTTATACTTCTATGTGTTCCGCTCATCTTGCTTTACTTCCATGATATGACGAGTTGTTGATTGATTAGTATCTGCAATCCATTCTTTATTATTCCTTCTCCTCCATGATTTTCCTCTCAAATCTTTCTACGCATCTTCCTAAGATGTATTTTACATCCTTAATTTGAGATTTTGTGGGATTTAAAGACCAATGAAAGAGAGAAGAAAGCTCTGTTTGTGCTTTTTATCAGCTGTTTTATATTTCTGACCGTTGATCATTGATTGAGGTTGTTATGGATCCAGGTTATTTGAATCGTTTAATAATGATTACCTTCCAGGGCAGGTCCTGTTTCGGGGACAACGCGCCATTCATCGTCCTCTGGATTGCTCCCGATAACATCTGGATACTTAATAATTTCATCAATCAACCAGTTCGGAGTCGAAGTTGAACATAATCGGCATGAGTGCATCTTCCAGCAGCAAAATAGTTAAAACTTCAAAGCCTTGAGACACTTCTCCTTGTGCTAGAACTCGACATTTAGGATCAGTCTTCGTCAATCTCACTAATTTAAGATGCCAATTTTTATCTGTCAAGGATTAGCTATACAGGGTGTCCCTCAAGTTGAGGGGAAATTTTTATAGGAGTGATAGCAAACCTCAAGAGCGACAAAAAAATTCATACAAACATTGTGCCAATTTTCAGCAGAAAAGTAGGGAAACCAAGATTCGTGTTTTTTAAAGTGAGCTCGTTTTTTACTGAATCGAAAACAATAACTAGAGAAATATTTAACTTAAGTAATTGATAATTACTTCATTGTAAACAAGATTAAATTTACTTTAAAGGAACATAGAATTTATTATTGTTGAAACCATTTAAAGAGGACGTTTTGTTTTTTGTTACGGTCTTTAATTTAGAAGAATTGTTTCCGCAACAAATTTGCCAGATGCTCAGTGGAGACGGTAGGGTTCGCAAAAAAAAAAAAAAAAAAAGAAAATTAATGAAGAGTCAATTAAATATTATTAACTATCCAACAGGTGACACGCTATTTAATTGGTTGAATTTGGAAAATAATGAAAACCATAAAAATAAAAAAAATATATAAATTTAATTAAAAAAAAAAATATTTGGACGCAGAGTGAGCTACAAATTCGGAACCTATGGATTTAAAAACATATGTTAATTAACCTCAAAAACCTATCGAACCTTCTTACTCGATTAATATTAATTTTCCCTAATCCCTCGAATTGAGTTTTACAATTCCTTATCAAACCTTAAAAAAAACAACAACAATATAATATATACATAAAACGTGAAAACAAACTGAAGAAAAAGAAGAAAATAAAACTGGATATTATTATTACTAATGATGAATTTATTTATTTCTATTGATTTAAATAACTGTTAATTTTATCGCTAAATATAATCGACAAAGGAAACAAAAATTAATTTAATACGCCTGAAGGAGAAGGAAGCCTTCGAAATTGGTGGCTCAATCTTGAGATTTGGTAAAGAATTAACGATGATATGGCTTGCCGATCAAAAACACCATCGATAAATAATATAAACTCCTCCTCTCTCGTCTCGCCTAGTCATAGAGACCTTAAAGTCGACGAAATGAGAAATGTATTCAATGACAGTACTACAATTAACGCAAGGTTGTGTGAATGCGAACCCTATGCCTTGAATTATCTCGAAAATAGTACGTTTTGGGGCTTAAAAACGCAGCTGTACTGTATACTTGCTGTACGCATCAAAATCTTCAAGGTCCAATTCATCCCGTATCGATCTACAGACCTACCACCGTTCAGGTATTGAAGCCTAGCAAAATGTTTGTATCGATTTTATTTATTTTAGAAAGAAAAACAAAAGTGGAGATAACGATTCGCTAACCCCCCGAGAAATTCTGAATCCAACGGTCCCCCATTCATGGTATTTGAGCATGATAGGAGCTTATATTTGGCACAAAACCCATTTCGAGCCTTACTGTAATAATATATGTGGGGATACTTTTTGAATAAATTGGTTATAAACTACTATCTTTTCTGCTGAAAATTGGCTCATTGTTTGTATGAACTTTTTTGTAATTCTTAAGGTCTGTTATCACTTCTGTAATATATTCCCTATACTTACGGGACAACCTGTATATTTAAGGATTTATGTCATTTCAGTCCACTTGCTATGTTTTTTTTATAATTTTATAAGGTCGTAATTCATATAAACTTTTCTGAAAGTTTTCTCAGCACTCATGGCATACTACATTTCTCTGATGCAATGATTTACTGATTATCTGTAAATTGCAAAATGAATAAGTAATCCTTACCAATCCTCACTCCTTTTGTTTATGCTTCTATTTGTAGATCGTATTTTCAATAAAATTCAGGTTATAAACTTTCTATGTTTATATTTTGCAACAAATATCTAATCCATACCTAATGATAAGAATTGTGTGAGGATTTATAGGGTTTAATGCACATTACGTTTAATGCCTTGTACTTTGCTCTTGATAATCCAGAAAAAATTCTGATAAAAAGAAAAACGGTAGTTTATTATGACAAAAACGAATCCAGTTTTATCTTACGTAGGAAATGAGGTGGACTGTTTACGTCACGTTTAACTACTGACCTTTAAAAGGACGTATTAGATTTTAAAATATAATATGGTGGAATCTAAAAGCTGATAAGACAAGATAATTATATAAATAAAGAGTATTTGTGATTGGAGAAGAATCATTTATTGATCGCTTGGAAACAAACTAAGGATGAGAAGTGGACCTATTGTTCTGATGATTTCGCTGTGCTTTTTCCTGGCAGGAGCCAGCCGAATAGAGCAAATTATTTTAGGAAAATGTGAGTAATACCATCAACTCTCCCCTCGAATATCAATACATTCCGGATGTAAATTTATTTTCTTACAACTGAAGATAGAGGAATAGCGAAAAATGATTATATTTAAAACGGAATTAAAAAAAAAAAAAAACTTAACTAGTTGACATATGCGAAAGATTCGCAGAGATCCTTCGCATAGGACATCCATACGAATTCTCGTGATAATTTTTGATCAATAACTCTCCTGGAATAATTATATTTCTCAAATTATCCGAAAATCTATTGATACCCCTAAACAGTTTCCGTGATTCTAGAGTTCAAATTATTCAGTAAAGTCTTCTGAATGTTTTTAAACGGTTTTAGTTCAAAGTATAATATACTTTGAACATTATATATGTATGTATATATATATATATATATATATATATATATATATATATATATATATATATATATATATATATACTGTATATATATATATATATATATATATTGTATATATATATATTGTATATATATATATATATATTGTATATATATATATATATATAATATATATATATATATATATATATATATATATATATAGTGTGTGTGTGTGTGTATATTTACAAAATGTCTTCAATCGACCTTTGAGTATTATATTTTAATATAAATATTTTATTGGGAATAAGGTCACTTAATAATTATTCAATAATCTACTAAATGTTCATTGCTTTTTTTTTTTTTTTTTTTTTTTTTTTTTTTTTTTTTTTTTTTTTTTTTTTTTTGTTCTTCCATACCTCTTCTTTTAGGCTATACGGGGTTTTTCCCGGGCCGGGGGGTGAGGGCGGGGAATTTAAAATCCCCTCCGGCACCGGGACGCGAACTCGTACTTTTTATACCATCTCAAATCTCTGTTATCCGGTTGCCAGGCAACTAGCGGTGATGTGCACACGCTTTAGCCTATTCGGCCACCCTGTCCACTAAAAGATATTCCGGTACCGGGAATCGAACCCGAGCCTCCTGGGTGAAAGCCAGGTATCCTAGCCACTAGACCATATCGTACTGTATGTTCATTGCTTCTGTGTTTATTCGATGTTTCGATGTGCTACAAGAGCAGCTTGTGCCACAGGCGGATTTACGGGGGGGGGGTTGCTTTCGGGCTGAAGCCCCCCTTCCCCAAAATGGTAAAATATAACCATGTTTTATGGTAAAAAAATTAAGTCTTAAAGTATTATTGCTCGTTTAATTACATTTAATATGACTTCAAGAATCACTTAAACACCATTCCATGTAGGTAGTTAGAATCTTTCTGTTTTTCCAATGAAAGTATCGATATATATATATATATATATATTTATATATATATATGAAAAAAAATATCTTTCGGGATGAAGCCCCCCCCCCCAAAATTAAATCTTGGATCCGCTAGTGGCTTGTGCTGGTGGAGGGTGCTGACTTTGTCGGTGTGTCCCTGGCCTGAGGTATCGAAGCTCTATTTTAAAACTTTGAAGAGGACCCCATTGTTAACTTATAAAAAACCGGAATAAAAATGTCGAATAAACACAGAAGCAATGAACATTTAGTAGTTTATTGAATAATTATTAAGTGACCTTATTCCCAATAAAATAATTATGTTAATATATATATATATATATTATTATATTTTAAGTATTCTCAAATTTGTACTGGGTTCATATCATATCATGTGCAAGATCTTGATCATATGTGTTACAATATCCTGGAGGTAAAGATCACAATGTCACTTACTAAATTATTTAATAAAAAAATGGACATAGTATCCATTAGGTACGGGGCATACAGATATATTGTCAATGCTTGAAAAACTAAAGAGGTTAAAATAAAAAACAAAAAATTGAATTAAAGAAAACAACTAGACTTTAGAAACATGGAAATTCTGTCCATCCCAGGGGGATGTTCTTTCGTATCTTGTGAAAAATAATGGTATATTCAGGAGAGCCCAGTAGGGGATTTTATGGCGCGAGTTGTGCCACCAAATATTTTGAGGGGGGCACATTTTGACGAGATTTTGAACCACAGCAAGTGTAATTATATATGATGTATGATTTTTCTAATTCAATCTTTGCTTGCATTGTTATTTAGAAGAGGAAATAAATCAATTTTCTTCGGAAGGGTAGGTGTTTCTTCGCAATCAACCAAGGGAGGGATGGGTACCCCTGAGTATATTGCTAGGAAAATTAATATCCACGAATATTTTACACTTGTGTAGTAGTCTAGTGCCTTTCACTGCACATTATAGCTCTTGGCAAGTAGATTTCATACCATGTATTTGAGCATGTCACCGTCTTAAAGTCCTGAGTTCGAAGTAAGGTAGGTCACACCAAGTTTAAAACTACACTAATTTAAATATTCATTTCTATCTACCTACGTTTTTAAATGGATAATAAAGTGCATGCATTTACGATAGACAGGATATCCCAATTTCTGTAGCCAGTTTTTTTTTTTTAATTTAAAATTGTTTTAAAGTATATATGTCTAAACGTTGAAAATTTGTTTCATAGATCCAAATTTAAAGCCTGTCCCAAAAGGGATGATTCGATGTAAGCCGACAGCTTGCTGCCCTGTGGGAGAATCCAGGTGTTGCTATGGAGGAGACTGGTGCTGCTTGAACAGGCTAACAATGTAAGTAAAAATATTTTCCCATTCTTATACTGACCACTAGATGAGAAGTTAATAAATTAGTTTATTTTAATTTTTGCAGAAGAGTTATAGCTCATTTTTGTTAAAACTTACCTTCCAACTGCCACCACCCGAAGATGAGGATGAAACATACTTTGATTATATGTCCAGACTCTCCATTTTCATTGGGAGAGAGAGGAATGAACAAAAAAAAGTGCCATGAATTTATATTCTGTATACATATTATGTAAAACCATGAATGGGTACCACCGTTTAAGTGTCACTCCACTTTGACGAGTGAACCAAGATCCCATGGTCACATTAATGGGATCAAGAAATTAGTAGAAGATTGAAGTGCGTTCACAGTATAACCTCCCTTCATTTAGATCGCGTTTTACGTCTTAGGCAAACTCCTTACTGGTATTTTTCAGTGTAATTTTTTTTTGTCATCCTCTTACCCACCTTGTAGGTTATACGGATCTGAGGAGAGGACCAGGATTTGATGTCAGAGGTAAAATTCTTCTCCAAGATCGAGATGCGAACTCGTACTTATTTTATCAGGTTATCTTCAAGTTTATCTGGTTACCCGGCAACGCATGTTTTGAACACGCATTAGACCGCTCACCCTACCCCACTCTTTGGTGCTTTTCAGTTAAAATTTATTAGCTTTAATTACATCTCTGCTTTCGACTCGTGCTCGCAATGCTTACTCTAAAGGGACAAACAAACCACGAACTTATCATCAAAACCAGACAGATCTGTCACTCCCGTTACCTTTCGGACATTCTCGGGATTGGAGATCCAACAAAGTGGAGTGACACCTGTACAGTTATACCGATAAATGTATAAAAACATTGTAATTATTGTAAAACGTACTATAAATATAATTGTATATTTAAAAATAAATTTATATATATATATGTTTATATATTTGTAATGTTTTAATTATTTTTTTTTACCTATGAAAATATAAACAGTTCTATTTCGAATATGTCACATTTTCATTTTATTAGAAAAAAAGTAGTTCGAGCAGAAAGTTGCAGTGAGTCCAGCCCACTTCAATCCAAGAAGAACGAGGAGCTAATGGAATGAAAGACTCTAATTAAAGATAAATCTAACAAGGAAACTTCATACTAGACTTAGAAGGCAAGTAATTAACCGACGATTTCACCAATTACATAGACTACTTAACAGAAACTCTAATAATCTAAAAATGCAATCGAAAACAAATTATTAATTTACAAGACATTACTAAAACCCATCTGGACCTGCTGTCCATTGTGAAACTATGGAGGAAAGCTAATTTTTCTAACATCAAAGGCATCCAATTTTTTCATTTCTTTACAATAGTCTTCTTCTTCTTTTGCATCACCCTGTAGTGCCTTTCAGCGTAGGGGAGCGTCTAACCGGATTGCCAATTTTCCCTGTTTCTTGCAAGATTTCTGACTTGGCGTATATTTTTATTTCTATTTTTGCACAGGCGGTCTACGTATTCGAGGTACATTCTCGGTCTGCCGCGGGGTCTTCTGCCATCGGGGACGTAGTCCATAGACTTTAATGGATCTCTGTGTTCTTCCACCCTGATGACATGCCCAAACCACTTAAGCTGCTGAGTCTTTAGGACATCCTTCATCGGGGGAACTCCCAATTCCTCCTTGATACTCTCGTTTTCCCTGCGATCCTTCGGAGAAACCTCATTTCTGCAGCAGTGATTTTTCTCTCAAGTTTGTCAGTCAGCACCCAGCTTTCTGCACCATACAGGAGTACAGGCAAGTATACTGCCTTAAATATGTGCAGTTTTACACCTCTGCTCACTTCTCTCATTCCGACCACAGTATTGCAGATCTGGTAATATACAGCGTTTGCTTTGCTTATCCTGTGCAGAATTTCTGAATCCACTTTCCCAGACCGATTCATAACAGAACCAAGATAGGTGAAATCTGACACAACTTCCATCACCTCTCTGTTGCAATACACTAACAATACTGCACCTAACATCTTCCTGCACCCTTCCAACTTATAGGATCTTGCTCTTTCTTGTACTGATGACCATACCCTTCCTGAGGAGCTCCTCGTTCCATTCGTCAGCTGCCTGTTGTAATTTCTCCACAGAATCAGCAATCAGGACGATATCGTCCGCATATAGAAGAAACTGAAATACAACTGGAAGCAGATTCCTTCCGCCCAGAAACGTTCTTTCTGTTCGTCTTTTGCAGATTGCAGCAATTTCCTCCATATATAATATAAATAGCAACGGGCTTAAACTGTCACCTTGTTTGACCCCCTTAGCTATGCTAAATTAGCCAGATTCCTGTCCATTCAGTCTGACTATCCTTTTGGATTTTGGTATATGGATTTAATAGCCTCAACGAGAACATTTTTTACTCCTAGTGTTTCCCATATTTCGTTTCTTGGTACTGAATAAAATGCTGCCTGAAGGTCGAGGAAGGCTAAGTACAGATTTTTATCATTATCCCATGATTTTTGTATTATATTCCTGAGGGTGAATATATGATCCTGTGTCTGACGCCCTGGTCTGAAACCAGCTTGCTCTTCTCCTATGAACAGTTCCTCTAGAGGTCTCAGTCTATTGTGCAGGATGGATGTATATAATTTATATACCACTGGGGACAGGCATATGGGTCTGTAATTGGAGCATTCAGTCTGGCTGCCTTTTTTATGTATGGAAATTATGAATTACAATAGTCAATGCTCCTTATTATTTTACAAACAAAACTCTATATTATGACCTTAATATCCCTTATATCCTTGACGTTATTCCATCCAGGTTCTCAAACATTCATCAGAACCTAATCCACCATCCTATTCCCTTAGCATGATCCTTATCCAGTTGCAGTCATTCATATCTCCAACCCCCCTCGAAGATTGAAACGGCAGTGGCCTCGAGATCTTTTGTACCATACGTGGGGGATAGGGCCCCACTCGGAGATTCCTCGGCTGATTGTAAATAAGAATGAATGTGTTTTTATATTTTTATTTAATGTTGTCTCAAGTTTCATTTCTTCTGTTATATTAAGTTTTCGTTTTCCTTTTCTTTTGTTATAATTTTTCTGTTGTTTTTGTTATTGCATATAGGTATGAATATTGTATGAATGAGTCTCACACAGCTCTAATACTGAATGTTCTTAATTGCGGCAAAATTAATTATTTCTCAATAAAATAAGATTTTAATAAAAAAAAAAAAAAAAGTTCAAGACAAATGGATCAAGGAATACTGAACAGATAATGAACCTTTCCTTGCGGTAGGAAGAGATCATGCTGTCATGCCTTACATCTTGCTACTGCAAACACCCTTATTGGATTTCAATAAATAAATAAAATATTCTCCCATTTTTAAGGCTTATTCAATAAATTTTAATTTAAATAATCTTCTTTCTAAAGATCCACGCATAAAATGAATTAGCATGAATATGTATGTGTAAATGTAAATGTATATAAGAATTTTAGGGATATATAGAGAATAATTCACACTAAATAACATTATAGCATAGTTAAATAACATTATAAATACATTCCATAACATGTAAACTGCGCGTGTTAACAAAGAAAACAATTATGATAAATAAAAAAAAAAAATGAAAATTATGATGAAAAAATGAGGTAATCTATAAATGGGAGTGTTATGCAGATTTGAAGACAAATTAGGGTGAAATCTGAAACCTGATAAGGTGAGATTACTTCATAATGAAAAGGTTTCTATGTTTGGAGAAGAATCATTTAATGATCGCATGGAAACCGACTAAGGATGAGAAGTGGACTTATTGTTGTGATGATTTCGCTGTGGTTCTTTCTCGCAGGAGCTACCCGAATGGAGCAAAGGATTCTAGAGAAAAGTTAGTATTACCACCAATTTCACCTTCAATTCCGGGTTTATTTTCATTTTCTCACAACTGAAGATAGAGTAATAATGACCATTAATTATTTTAAAAACGAAATATTAAAATCAAAACTATACATGGTGTCCAGTAAGTAGAGAGTAATTTTTAAAAAGGATCATAGACCTCATGATCTACAAAAAAGTTTATATAAACAATGACCCAATTTTCAGCAGGAAAGTAAGAAATTAAGGTTTTATGTTTTTTTTTTTTTTAAGTAAGTCATGTTTTTATTTTAAGCGAATAAACTATGCTAAGTGTGTCTTGTGGGATATTGAAATTTGACACCCGTGTTGGCTCAAGCTATGTTGTATGGCGACAACATATTTCTTATAGTAGACTCACAAGAGGCTCTATAGATATTATTGGTCGAGTGGGAAGAAGAACTGAAGCTACGAGGGCTGCATATAAACCCGTCTAAGAGCAAGTTTATTTGCGTTGGAAAAGATAATGCGGAGTCTATGATTTTAAGTAATGGCAAACCCCTATGGGTACCAAATGCATACACGTATCTGGTGACTATCAGCAATGAAGATGTCAAAATAGACCAGGTGGTACTAAATCGGGTGATGAAGGCCAATGGAATATATTACCAGATACCCAAAACAATCATAGGAAAACGGGAAGTAAGCAGAAAGACCAAACTCACGATATATAATGCGATGTTCCTCCCAGTACTTCTTTATGGATCTGAAAGCTGAACAACCCTCGAAAAGCACGTAAGCAGGATAACAGTCGAGGAAATGAGATTCCTCCGAAGAATAGCTGGCAAAACTAAGAAGGACAGAATCCGTGAGGAATTGGAGGTGACATCATCCGTGACATCCTGGAAGAGAAGCAGTTGAAATGGTTCGGGAACATCTGCAGAATTGACGACACCCGAAGGGGCAGGTGGTTTATGGAAGCCAGACCGGAAGGCAGAAGAGCTCGTGGCAGACCTAGACATATGCACCATGATTACATTGGAAAATTGAACACAGCAAGAGGACACACCATACCGGAGATGAGAAGGCTAGCCAGGGACAGAGACCAGTGGGCAAGATGGGCTGGGAATGCAGCTCCACGCTTAACTGCACAAAGCAGCTAGAGAAAGAAGAATAACTTCTATTTTTAAAAAGATTATGAATTATTCACGTTTTTTTTTATACCAATCCCCAACTGTATCTACGAATCCCCAAATCTATAGATACTCTACTTTTAGGAAAACTTCTTTTCATTTAATTAGCCTAATTAGGCCATTAATTAAATTAGATTTTAATTTAATTAGGCCATATCAATTAAGTTAGGGGTTTATGAAGAAATAAGTTGAGAATCACCTCAGGATGTAAAAAAAAAAATTTGATGTCCTATCACCTGAAAGTACCAGCGTTTTTGGCAAAAATAACCACAATATATTATTGCAAAATTTTAATTTATTTCTTTTTTTCATAATCTGGGATGTATTACATATATATAACTGCCTAAAAATACATTTAATTAACAAAAAGAGTTTAAAATAATGCTTTTTCAAATATTTCTCATCTAAAGTGATAATGAAATTGTGATTTTTACCTAGAGGTCTACTGTAAAAATTCTTCAAAATAAATATTTCTAAATATATCCAAATTTAATAACAAATTAAATTATTTTCATGAAAAAGTTAATACTAGGATTAGGAACCTTTAGCTGTTCAATTATAATAAATAAAGATCAATTCTTATAATAATGATCTGGGTAAAAAACAGTTTCTAAATCACTTTAGATGATAAATATTAGAAAAATCATTATTTTTAACATATAGAAAATAGAATAGTGGACAAATTATTTTATTTCAAGCTAACGTTTCGACCTCGAATCGAACGTTCAGCAAGAAGTTTTAGTTAAAACTGATAATTGAAACGTTGACTCGAAATAAAATAGTTTTTCCAGTATTTTATTCTCTTTATGATCGCCACCGCGGACAATCTCTTTCCTCTACAATATGCAACAAACCAAGTATTCAATACTTTTAACATAATTTTTTTTTAGAAGTGAAAGCAATATTTATGTAATCATGATTATTACGAGACCTGAGCCTAGAAAAAAAAGAAATTAAATAATTTTAATCCGTAGTACACTATTTATCGAATTATTGACATCCGCCAGAAACTTCGTAAATAGTTTTATCACATCGTAACCTACAACTATTTTATTTACGAATACTCTTGGAATTGATGCTTTTTCAATCTGGAGGGGGACAAACTTTGTCTATTTAATTAGGTACTAAAAACTCGTAAATAAACATTTGCTTCCTACTTGGATCAAATTTGTACAAGTGGAAATAATAATGTGAATACGCGTTCAGAAACGATCCAATGGTGGCACTCTAAGAATATATCTACGTTAGATCACGGGGTCATATTCTTTTCAGATTCCTCGGAGGGTTATCATAAATTGAAGAGGAAACAAGATTTGAAACGAGAGGGTTGGGATGATTCTGAAGTTTATTACGAAGGATACTTTAAGGAGGGCTAGTAGCACAATTCACGGTTTAAACCAAGAGTTGGCTATCTGAGCTTAATCTACCAGCTCTGTTATCACCACTTTCGGTCGTTGATAAAAAGTTAAATCTAAAACAAGATAAGAAAGGAAGTAGGAGGTTACTAATAGGTTTTTCTACAGTTTTCTGTTGTGTGAGCTTCTCAATGTCTTCTCAAGTGTTTGTTTCATATCTTTTCAAGATGTCTTCTCAAGACAAAGTTAAATTAATTTGTGTCGATCATAATCCATCATAAAAATCATTATCTGACCAATGAATAAAATGATTCATCCGAGGACAATATAATTTTTTCAACATTAGTAAAAATTCAATTAAATCGAGGAAATCCTCGTCATCTGTGAGGTCGTCAAAATCTATAATATCACTTTTTGCAAGAGAAAAGATAAATAAAAATGATTAACACAAACGATAGAGCAAAACACCGCGGAAGGTTATCATAGTTACCAAAGGTAACCCTAGCTAACTAAGTTTTTTTTTTTAAGTAAAGTATAAGCGCATACCGTCGACCGATCAAGATTAAATTTGGTTTTATCTTAGATAACGCGTAATCTAAGCTTTACTGAACTGGAGAAAATGGCCCTTAGTGAGAGAGAGCAACAAACCAAGACTCTAATACAACAAACAAATAGATCTAAAGAGAGTATAATAATAGATAGCTGTGTCTTCTTTTTTAGTAAAAGATTACCCATTTTTCTAGAATACTATTTTTTTATTTAATATTAAAAAAAATATACATATTTCTTTAAAAATTTAAGATTTAGTTGACAGTTGCAGAGGGTAAGCCTACCCCGTTGGGGATGGTGCGGTGCACACCTACTGCTTGTTGTCCTGCGCAAAAATTCAGATGTTGCGAAGGAGGACATTGGTGTTGCCTTGGAAAATCGAGTATGTAAGTACAATTTTTTTCCCAATTAAAATGGATCACTCAATTATAAATAAATCACTGGTTTATTTAATTTTTTCCAGAAAAGTGAAAACTAGTTGGTGTTAAAACTGATCTTCAACTATCACCATCCGAAAATAAGAAAGAAACATACTTCAATCTTAGGTGCTGACTTTTCCCTTTAATTGGAAAGGGCAATGGACCAAACAAATATATAAAAAACTGCCGAGAGTTTATATTATGTATACAAATTATATAAAACGATCAATGTATATAATCAGGGAATTATTGTAAATAGAAAAATATATTAGTGTGTATTTAAAATAAATTTATATATATATATATATATATATATATATATATATATATATATATATTTTTTTTTTTTTTTTTTTTTTTTTGTGGTTGGCACTACAGACCATGACCGCGAGATGTGGTCTCCTTATAGCCGCATTTGCTTGCGGGAGCACACTTAGCCTGGAGGGATCACCCAATCTCACGTTTGGGACCAATCTGACACTATCCTTCCCAAAGACTCACTCGGGTTCAAGGACAGTGACAGATTGGTCCAGATCCATGGATTATAGCTGTTCAGAATCAGCAGACCAAACCTCAGGGAGACTACTGACGTCTCAGTAGACCACATCTCGATTCCCGATTTACTTACACGGGGTAGGGTCATCAGTCCTACGTCCGGTCGGTGTGAATTGCCGCTAGTAAGCTGACGGGCTCACATAGCCAGGTGAGGGGAGAGGAATCTCGGGCAGCGTGACTACTCTTGGCGGACGGTCACCCATCCAAGTACCAACCACGCTCGACGTTGCTTAACTTTGATTTCCTGTTGCAAGCTCCTTAGTCCGCACTGCTAATCCAGCCCCCTTATGTATATATAATACTTATAGTGCCTCCTACATGTGCTTTTTTTGCTTTGACACTATAGTATTGTGAACTAGATGGTGGTCTGATTCACATACTGCCCTCTAAAGATCCGTACGTTTTGAATATCCATAGCATGTCTCTATTGTTTGATCTATTTGGTTTCTCGTTCTGCCATCTGGTCATACCTATGCGGTTTTCTTTAACTTCATTAGTTTTTTTTTTTTCTGTTTTACCATTAACAGTTTCATGACACTGGTGTACATTGGACCTCCGCATCTTCTGATATCTAGGCTTCAGATTTGTGATCTCTTCAAGACGTGTCCACTACGACTGTGGAGTCACGTCCATCCCGTGCTAGTTTGGTTCCACCCCGAGTATTTCATTTCCCGGTACCACCCATATCTGGGAGTCATTCCTCTATGCTCCCTGGGGATGCCCTCGATGTATACTAGCAATCCCACTGGGGCCCAGCAACACCAACTTAGGAATTCAATTTGATCACATATCAGTCTGAAACGACAAGAAACCGCTCGACGTGTTTTATTACATCAGCACTTATTAGACAAGTGCTCTAAACTTCCAATTAACTACAAAGGACTCATATACATACAAATGATAACTAAAATAAAGATAAAAGAAAAAGAGTTTAACATACATCGGTAAAAAAAAAAAAAATAGAGAAAAGCTAAATGAAATTGAAATATATAAAATATATTCACACCTATATACACATTAAGAGTGTTACCATTGGGTAGTTTCTCAACAAGTGTTTTCACGTCATTTTATCCATACGTTCAAATTTACTAAATGTATTCCTTTAATACAGTTGTAAATATCATTAAGAAATAAAAAAAGATCAAAAGAAACATTTTTTATATAATCATTCCTTGTACATTCAATATTATTAGCTATCTGCCTTCAAGTAGATATGAAACATTTAGGGAAAATGAAATACTTGATAAATGGAATTTGTCCACGATTTTAGAGTTTCCTCTCACTGTAGAGGAAACATTTGAAGTTACTACTGAATCAGGAATGTGAAAATGAAGAAGCAATCCAAATTATTCATGGACAGAGGAAAATATAGATGGAAATATTTTGCCGGATAAAGAAGACATTCAACATGAATGAAAAACAACAAATCTCGATGCCCAGAGAGACGGTACACAAGCAGAACTTTTAAAAGAGACCAAAGTAGGGGAAGGGGGTTCATAGTGAAAGTTACATCTTTTTTTATTTTTATGTGGTCAAGAATTTTTGCAAGGAACTATATTTTTGTGGGATTCAATATGCAGGAACATTAATAGAAGTGAACCAGGAATAAAATATAAAAAAGATACAGCAAGTGTAATTGTGCATAATCTACAGTTTTTCAAATTCTTCTTTCGTCTGTACTTTTTTTTATGTAAAGAAAAACAAACAAAAAATTACAGCAAGAGGTAGAATGCGTTTGAGGATAATTTTTTCAATGATTTTTGAGAGGATCGGAAGCAAGCTTATAAAGATTTAGGGAAGAGGATAATTAAGTAGTATTTCCACATCAGAGGAATATAATTTCATTTGGTGTCCAAGGGTCTGGGAAGTGATGAAATCGTGTCTAGGAGATTTTTGAGCTTTTATGTTGGTTATAAGGGATTGGATCTCTGAGGGGTTGACAGCTTTAGGAGGCAGGGATAATTCTTTTACTTCAGCCGTGTGGGTGGGATGAAGAATGAATGTGTTTAGCAAATTCTTTAGGTCTAGTCTTGACTCATCTGAGGATCATGTTCCATCATCTCATCGGAGCAGTGGGAAATATAGTGTCAATTTCCAGAGACAGTTATCATAAATAGAGAGGAAAGAAAGGTAAAAATTGTAAGATTGGGATCTAAAGGAAGCCAGTTATCTTTAAAACTGGTTGGAATAATAATTGTATAATTTCCGATCGTCAGGAGGGCTAGTTCTTTCCCAAGAGGGCCCTAGATCGACGTTTGGATTTTATAGGATCAGTAAGGTGTTGGGACAAAGGGATTTTTATACAGTATTTTTTGTAGGGGCGTAGTGAGGATGAAGTTCTGACTGTTTGTTCGATCAAGGTGATGTAGGAGCTCACTGCATTATCTAGGTCTTGAGGAGTTTTTCGGGATACTCTGAGGCCTATTGCATCTGTTATTGTTTGCTGGAGAAGGTTCCAGTTGACTGAGCCTCTGATGAATGAATGAGCAAATAACCTGATAACATGAAATTCTGACTGGATTAGATTTAGCACAGTGTGGTCTGATGAAAGGCCATTGAGCCGTACAAATTAGTAACTTAACGGCCATGTACCTTTGTGAATGAAGAGGTCAAGGAGGTCAGGATTACGGTTAGGATCAGTTGGCCAGTATGTAGAAGTATGAGGGAAAAGTATGTTGCTTTTGTGGGAATTAAGCGCAGACAGCAATATTCGCACGCGAGAATTCATGCTAATGTTTTTGGCTCCCCATTGCTGATGTTTGGCATTAAAGTCTCCAACTATAAGGAAATGGTGTCCTAAGTAATTAAAAAAGGAATAGGATGAAATTTAGGTACTGCTATTTTAGAAGGAAAGTATGATTACAGCAGCATGTACTGTTTCATGAGGGTGGTCAATTCGATAAAACTTGTTATCAGATATGTTAAATTATCAGTTGTTAGTCGGGTCTCAATTTCAGGGCTAAGTCAATGTTATTGTTCTGTAGAAAATCAGTTAATTCATTGATATGATTTCGAACACCATTGATTTTATTGCGGACACTTAAAGAATTCGTGGTGGTGGAGTGAAGTTAGATATGCCATTTGTGAGTAAGGTTAAGAGTGGGTTAATGAGGGATTTGAACTCGGAGAGGAATAATGTAAGGAGGCTGGTAAGGTCATTGGACTTGTTAGGAGGAGGAATGTAGGACATTTGGTGATGACTGGACTTCTGGGTGTTATTTGAATGGGTTTGGGAGTTGATGAGATTGTGGTTGAATTAGCAGGGCGGCTGAGGTTGAGTAGCGTATTCTATTTCTCCTAGCATTTGAGCATTGGAGGCTTGTTTCCTTGCAAATCTTGTGGGTTGCCTTGGCGGTCTAAGAGTTATGCATGACTCTTCCTGATTGGGTTCTGTCCGTAATCTTAAATTAAGGATTTTATATATCTGGCATTCTTTATAGTTTGCTGTGTGGTCTTTACGTCACAATCCGCACATCGCAGGAGTTCGCCTAGACTTATTGCATTCTACCGACTTTTGTTGTTGCCCGCACTTCACACACCAAAGTAAGCGGTAACAATAGTTTCTAGGGCGGCTATAAGATTGGCAATTATGGCATTGTACTATTCCCCTTTTTGACAATTATATTGGTATAGTACAGGCGTTTTAATTTATAAATGTTTTCAACTTCTGCAGTGCGCTCTAGGTCTACAAAAATTGTGGTAGGGCTTTTGTTATTGGCATCCGGCTGCTCTTTATTTTGTTTATAGGTATGAAAGATTTGGTGGACATTGAAACCCAAGGCCGTCAATTCATCTTTGCTTGTTTCTGATGAAGTTGAAGGGTTAAGGGCTCTTATCACTATTCTCAGCGCTCTCTCTTGATGTAGCTGATAAGTGTGGAATTCCGTCTTTGTATCAATCAAATATTTAAAAAAAAAATTAATATTGCTTTTAGTGATTTAATATTTTTCAAATGAATCTGATAGATCATGGTACGGACCCCTTGTCATCGAATTATTAACACCTCATCGTATCCTACAACAATTATATTTACGAAAAATCTTGGAATTAGGACGTTTTCAATCTAGAGGGGGGCAAACTTTGTATATTTAATTAGGTACTAAAACCTCATAAATACCCATTTGCTTTCTACTTGGATCGTAAGATAATTTTATCACAAATTCCAGAAAAAAAGTGGCCTTCAAAAATATTGAGCCGTTCGGCGTGACCTACACCCACAAATTTTCAAAATAACGAGGTTATATTAGACAAACAGCCCAACATTTTTAAAGGCCACATTTTTTATCTATTTTGTGGTCAAATTATCTTATGATCCATGTAGGAAGCGAATGGGTATTTACGAGTTTTAAGTACCTAATTAAATAGACAAACTTTGCCCTGCTCCAGGTTGAAAACGCCCCAATTCCAAGAGTTTTCGTAAATAAAATAGTTGTAGGTTACGATGAGATGAAATTATTGAAAGAGTTTCAGGCGAATATTAATAATTCAATAAAAAGGGGTGTCTACCACGGACTATGACATCAACGGTGTCATCGATTCGATTTTGACATATATATTTACCATTGTCGATTAGTTTATTTAAATACTGGCAAAATAACGGAAAATATTTGATATTTTCTAATTAATATTGGGGATGGTTTTGGTTCTCTAGGGGTTGGTGATTTTTCCATTGTTTCTTTTGATATATTAGATAGTATAAACTGATACGGGTAAAAAATGGTGGTTCATGTGTAATAGTTTCGGCCAGGTGTCGGGTTGTAGGTCATTAATTTTATTTAATTGGGTTATCAGGTGTTAAAGGTGGTGTTTTTTTTATCGATGTTTCTAGGCGTTTGCTTCACAGTTGAGCTTCGAGAGCTGTTATTGCCTAAACTAATAGATCATTTGTTCTTACTTGACATTTTTTATTATTATTATTATAAACTGAATTATTTGTTTATTGATAAATATTACAATCTGTCTCAATAAAGGACATTTATAAGAGAGTTCTGAGAGCACATTCACACCATATTTACAAATAATAAAATAAATAAGGTAATTTCAAAATAATATAAAGCTAAATAAGAACAAAAGAAAATATCGTAGTGAAGCAAGAAAATATCAATAATAGTAATAATAAAATAAAAATAAATGAATAAAATAAAATTAAAATTATCTTAAAAAAAAAAAAAAAAAGTAATGAAAATAAACATCTTAGACGCAGGCATACCTATTTACACTATTTACAGTCGACCATGGGAACTCCGAACTATAGTTGTTTTGTGGCTTCAGGAGATCATTGCGCTTCTTCCTCAACTACTTCACTGGTATTAAAAGCCAGCAGAGATTGAGTAAGGACGCTACAACCACAGACACTCATGACTTGAGTGCAGAATCTGGCCATTGCCAGAACTCCAATATATACATGTTACAAAAGGTCACGGGGCCACTGCCGCTTTAACCTGCGAGGAGGATTGTAGGGATGAGTGGTGCTAGATAGGGATTGTGATATGGGATTAGGGTGATGGGTAAGGTTCTGATGAAATTTGGAGAATTTGTCTGGGATAAGAACAAGAATAAATGGAATATTAAGGTCATTATGCAGAGTTTTATTGGTGACATAGAAGGAAGCATCGACTATTGTACGGAGGACTTTAGACTGGAAGGATTGAATGCGTTTGATGTTAGAAAATTTGATTGTCCCCCACAGTTCTAGTCCCTAGGTCCAGATGGGTTTTAGTATTGTCGTGTAGTGTAGATCAGTAGTTTGATTTCAATAGAAAGTTTAGATTTTCTATTAAGTAGTCTATATAGCTGGCCATAACGTCGGTTAAGTTCCTGTCTTTTCAGTCTAGTATGCGGATTCCACGTTAGTCGTCTGTCCAGGAGAAAACCAAGGTACCGGACTGTCGGAGAAGGGAAGCTCATACTTGACATAAAAAAAAAATTTAGTGCGTAAATAATTACGTAGATTTGTAGGAGAACAACTAACAGTTCCGCTTTCTCAGGAAGCCTTAAGACTACTGAACGAGTGGGGCATTGATAGACCATTGGATAGATAATAATGGCTTCTACCTAAAACTATCCTTGTTTACACAGTTGTCTAAATGTTAATAAACCAGTAGTTAATCACTGTATTTATGTTGAGTTGAATAGTGAATAGTTATCTGTTTTTCAATTGCCTGTTATCTGAATAGTCAATTGCCACTGTTTTTTCAAACTAAAATTCACTAATTCACTAAGAAATTAAGTCATTTTTTGGGTGGCGATATGAATCATAAACTGAATTAGGAACACATATATGTCTAATCCATACATATGATAACAGTTTTAGGGATTTATAGAGTATGGACACTTCCTTTAATACCATGTAAAGTAAAATAAAAAACCAATGGAGCTCAGCTAATCTATAAAAGGGAGTGTTACCCAGATTTGATGATATAAAAGGGTGAACTTTGAAACCTGATAAGACGAGATTGTTATATAATGATAAGATTTTTGTGATTCGAGAAGAATCATTTAATAATAGATTGGAAACCGATCAATGATGAGAAGCGGACCTATTGTACTGATGATTTCGCTGTGCTTTTTCCTGGTAAGAGCTAGCCGAATGGAGCAAATGATTGCAGCAAGAAGTGAGTATTACTATCAATCTTCTAACAACTGAAGTTCATGTCGTCGCCCTCTCCTCAGGCCCGAGAAAACACCGGTATGGTCTAAAAGGCGAGGAAGGGTAAGACAGAAAAAAAAAAAAAGCCATGTAGCTCCATAGTTTAAGAGAAATTTTCGATCCCTGCGTTTTGAAGCCCAAAAATGTATCGTTTTTTCCAGAAATTGTAACTAATACCAATCGCCTCTTAAGTGATATGGTTGCCATGGGAAATATTTTTAGTTATAATAATTAAAACATTGTTATTTATGATAGTCTTCAACGAACTAAAAATTTATTGAAAATGTAAATGGAGGAGAATACCTCAGCTATTCCTTGAACAGTTCGGATAACATATAAACTTTTTAATATTTCATAACTAATAAAACATATAAAAATCCAAAGGAGCTCTTATATAAACAAATAAAAACAAAAAAAAAACGCTTCAATAACCTCTGTAATTGATTTCTATATTCTTAGTGAGAGAACTAAAAACCAAAGTATCAATGCACCAAACAAATAGGTCTAATAATAAGGTACAATAATGTATTAGTATAAGTTGAGGGATAGCAGTGTTTTATCTGGCTTAACTATTAAACTTGGGAGATATTTTTCAATGAGACAAGTTAATCAATTTTAATTATTAAATTATTACTTTGACAGTCGTGGTAAAGTTTGAAGTTTCGCCAATTACGTGTGCTGATATTATCTTATTCTTTTCGAACCTTTGACTAAAAGGTTTTCGCTAAAAGATTTGTCTAAAAGTTGATTGGTGGAACCCTATCTTTGTTACTATTGTATTGGCAAATAAGTCCTTTCGGTTTTCAGAGTGAAATAAAACTCAATGTGCTATAGATATAAAATTTATTTTAATCTACAATATATTTACCATCATTAATATGACTTTTTCCATCTTTTCACTAACTGCATAATACCATGTTCATAGAATTTCTGTAGTTTATTGTTAAAAAACTGATCCAAGTGGTTTTTGATGTCCTCTTGTTTTTGGAATTTCTTTCTATTCATGGAGTTCTGTAAAGACCGGAATAAGTGGTAGTCACTTGTAGATAGGTCTGGTGAATAGGGAGGGTGAGGCAAAATGTCCCATCCAAGGCTCAACAATTTATTGCGATTGACCGATGCGTTGTCTTGGTAGAAAACTACACACTTCCGATCATTCATAACTCTTCAGGATGTTCTCCAAATTCGACGTTACTATATTCTTTGGAAAGTTCAATTATTGCTTTTCAAAGCCTTATGAATGCTTTTTTTTTATTTAATGCTTACATGAGGAATAAATAAATAAAAACTCACTATACGTTTTTATTTGTAGTTTGTTTACGAAGGTCCTGTTGATGTCATTTTGTGTAGTTTATGTGACCCTAAATTCCTGATAAACTTCTTGTAGATAGCTAAAGTCGTGTTCAAGTAATAACATTTTTATGTGATTTAAAAAAAAAAATCATGTGAGAGACCCAAACTAAGCCTGGAAACATAGCCGAGCTTGTGCAAATGGTTTTCTACTCTCTTGTGTAACAAATTTAGGGCCATAGCAATCTCTCGCAGTGATTGGGATTTTGATCAACAATGGCCTTAACATTGCTCGTTTCTATTTCATGTTGGTAACCAGACCGTTGAGCACCATGGATGTCAAAATTTCTTGAATGAAATTTGGCAAACCAATTTTGACAGGTGCATTCGGTTAAGGAATCATCCCCATAAATACTGCAAATTTTCTATAAGCCGCGTGCTTACATTTTTTTAAAAATAATACAACAAAATATGCCGATAACGAATGATATTTTCTTCCATATTCACAGTTCAATAGTAAACACCATGCTAAGCTAGTTTCAACTAGAGTTAACAGGTATAGTTGTTGACATATTACAAACAGGATAAACAATCCACCTTAGGGATTAATTCATCAGATAAGAAGTGTATCATGGTGACATAGAAATAAATAGAAAAACCGTTTATTGGCCACATTTTGCCAACTCGATTCCGTGAAAATTCCTACAATTCATACTTTTTAAACAATTTTAATACTTTCTGACGGGTACAGTTTTTGAAACTGATAATGATTATTATCCTGAAATTAGTTAAAAGTAATCTGAAAAACATTGTTAAAGTTTGTAACCTAAATATGTAAGAAAATAACCAAAAACAACAAAAAAACTAAATCAACGTTATCACTATAAGAATCAAAAGAAATAGTAGTCCTTGGTACAGAACCCTTTTTATCAAACTATTAACATCCGACTGAAACTTCGTAAATAGCTACATCTCATCGGAACGTAACCTATAAATATTTTATTTACGAAAATTCTCAATAATGATTTCAGGCGTTTTCAGTCTGGAGATCGGCAAACTTTATCTATTGAATTGGCTACTAAAAAATTGTAATTAGTATGCTTTCCACTTGAATCGTAAGATAATTTGAGCTCAAAGTCGAAAAAAAGGTGGCCTTCAAAAATATTGAACGGGATGCCTCAAAATGACGATGTTTTTATCGCTTTTGTGATCAAATTTTCTCACAATCCAAGTCGAAAGCAAATCGGTATTTACGAGTTTTTAGTACAGAATTGAAAATGCCCCAATTCCGCGAACTTTCGCCAATAAAATATTAGTAGGTTAGGATGAGATGCTATTTTCGAAGTTTCAGGTGAATGTTAATAATTTGAAAAAGAGAGGATTGTACCACGGACGAAAGGTGATGCAATTTCTATTTCCACGACTGTATATAGTTATTAACATGTTCCGTTGATGTCCTTATACGTAGAATGGAAAGGGATAGGTCTATGCGGGAATGTTTGGTAGGTAGTTGCCCAAATGCGAGACCGAGACGAGTCTTGGTCTTGCGCAAGAGTCTCGCAACAGTCTTGTAGTTACTTATTAGCTTATTGCTATAGAGATATTACTGTATTTTTTTAGATAGGAGGAACCTAACTTAGCCCGAATGAAAAATTAGTAGAGTTGAATTCAAAAGTATATTGGTTATACCAATTATTTACATATAGTAACTAAGATTGTCAAGTATTAGTAACTATTTTGCCTTAATTTTTATTTAAAAAAATTGATTTTTTTTTACCAGTCGTGCTCTTAGTCTTGCAACAGTTAGGTGGCCTTGATCATTTTGAGCAACACTATCGGTAGGGTACAATTGTAAATAATATTTTATTTTATATTATTTATTCCCTCAGGATGGACGGGAATTCCCGATTTCTGTATTTTATTTTTTAATTCAAACATATTTTTTATAGCTATATTTCCCTAAAATTGAAGTTTTAGTTGATAGTTCCACAGGAGAGGCCGGTCCCACCAGGAATGATTCGGTGTAAACCGACTGCCTGTTGCTATGCGCCAAAATTCAGATGTTGTGAAGGAGGAGATTGGTGCTGCATTGGGAATTTCCATATGTAAGTATAAATCGTTTTCTATCACTCTATAAGTATCACTCCATTATAAATATACTAATGGTTTATTGTAATATTTGCAGGAAAGTGATAGCTAGTTGGTGTTAAAACTGATCTAACCGACACCATCCGAAAATAAGGGAGAATCATCTAAGGTGCTGACTTTTCATTTTGATTAGGAAGGGCGATGGACCAAAAAAAGATTAACATAATATGATATTATGTATCATGTATGTTTATATTATGTATTTATGTATAGAAATCATGTAAAATGATAAATGTATATAATCAATACGATTACGAGTATTGTTAAACGAAAGATAGTGTTTTTAAAAATATATTTATAGATTTGTATTTTTTTTGTTCTGTATAAATATTTGAATATATGCGAACAAAACAATTGAACATATTACATATTTACATGGGGATGAGGGACAGCCTCTAGAAAATAGATAAATTTCTTGAAATTGTTCTGGAAAATTAATTATGTTAAAAATACTACAAATAGTATTGGGAAATTGTTAGGGAGTCGGAGAGAACACACAAATAAAAATTTTATTTTGTGCCATCGTTTAAGTTGGAAGCCTTCATAATTGCTGAGAAAAGACAACCACCAAAAAAATAATATAGTTAATGGTGACGAGCTGAATGGAAGGTTGTGCTCCCAACTGGTATCTCAGTATTTGCCTATTTTTCAGCGGAATCTCTCTGATTTTTCATTGAATACATTTCATGTGTACATCAGAGCAGTTGATGTTTGCTGTTTGATATATATATATTTTTTTTCTTTCTTTCTTCTCTTATGGTATGCGATATAGTCACCAAGTGATGTCCAGTAAGGTGCCCAAGAGGACTCGGTCAGACGGAGTTAGTACACCTCGTGGTTCACCAGCCAAACAACAGAACTCTTCGCTGCCTACGAGAAACATCTTCAACAACAAAAGTGAACACTTCAGAACCAGAACCAGGAACTTCTCTTCACAAGAAATGATCGAAGAATCCTATTTCTTTACACCAAACCCCTACCAAGTGCTTCAAAATTACCGAGAGGTAATGGAGTCTGCAGCTATAACCACAGAACCTTCTCCGATATTTGTGAAAAATATAAAAACAATCCAGTTGTTCTGCACCCAACTAAATAAAATCTGCTCTGGCAGTTATTCATGCATTAACTGGACCAACGATACAAAGATAACACCAGATACTGCTGAAACCTACCGAATAATAGTGATGTACCTCTCAGAAACCAATGCAAACCAGCTTAGGCAGGAGAGATCGTTACGAGTAGAAATAAGAAATTTACTCTCCTCAACCCCAACTGAAGTGATTGAAGAATAACTAACTACGCTTGGTTTCAATGTACGTCAAGTAACCAACGTCTTAAAGGAGTACAAGGAGCAGCCAGGGTTAAGGAATAAAATACCTCTACCATTGTATTTCATAGACTTGGACCCATCACCAGGTATCAAAAAAATATACGATATCACAAGATTATATTACACAATGGTGAAAGTAGAGAAATCATACCCCAGTAGAAAAATCATGCAGTACCATAATTGTCAGGCGTATGGCCACACGAAGACTTACTGTCACCATCAGCCGCGTTGTGTGAAATGCGGTGAACAGCACAAATATGTGGAGAGCACCAAACCGATACAAGATCCTGCAGTGTGTGCACTATAACTGGAGGGACACCAGGCCAACTACACTAGATGCCAAATCTACAAATCTACAAGAATCTCAAATCCAGATACCAGAAGAACCGGATTCAAGATGAAGCAGGAAGACCAAGAAGAGAAAGAGAGCCTCCTAGAATAGTTAACAATAGTGTATCATTTTCCTAGCTACTTCGAGGTAAGAACTCAACCGATAACTGTCAAGCCCTGCTGCAAACAACAACCTCAAACCCAACCTCAAAATCCTATTGATCCGATTATACCTAACCATCAACAACAAAGTCATCATATCCTTCCTCCTTCAAATGCAACAGATCTCACCAGTTTGTCACATCGAGGTGACCCTCTTGCTGGCTCTTGGGCAGCGTCTGACGAAGATAGAGCCGCCAAACACCTTTCCCTTTCATCCGGAATCCAACCCCACCCACACGGCAGCAGTAGAGGAATTCCTTAATTCACCAATCCCATTCTCCTTACCGACTAAAGCAGTTAATCCTTCTGAGGTCAAATACCACTTACAAAAACTACCTACCCGCAAATCACTTCCTCTACTGAAACCTATTTGGACTTACGGACTTGCACTGTGGGGAACAGCAAAATTTTCTAACATCAAACGCATCCAATCCTTCCAATCGAAAGTCCTTCGAACAATAATCGATGCTCCTTTCTATGTAACCAACAAAACCCTACACCATGACCTTAAAATCCCATTTGTCCTAGACCTTATCCCAGCAAAATTCTCCAAATTTCCCCAGAACCTTACCTATCATCCAATTCCCTTTGCAGGATCCCTATCCAGCAGCATCCATCCCTATAATCCTCCTAGAAGGTTAAAACGGCAGTGGGCCCGCGGTCATTTATAACTTCAATAAATATTGGAGTTCTGGCAATGGACAGATTCTCCATGAGTGTATGTGGCTAGATCACTCTTGGTCAATCTCCACAGGGTTCAGCCCTAGTGACGCTGTTGAGAGAGAAGTGCAGGGATATCCTCGAATCATGCTTTTTCCCTCCACTGTTGGGGGGGCAAGTCTGGCTCGGAGTTCTTTCTCCAGATTGTAAATAGTGTATATAGGTATGTATGTGTTCTTTTTATTTATTTATTTTAGGGTATTTTGTTCCCATTTATTGTATATATATTATTTTTCTGTATAATTTATTTTATTTATTGTACATAGATTGTGAATGTAATCTCTGAACACTATTATAAATGTCCTATGAGACAAATTGTAATATTTTTCAATAAATAAGTTTAAAAAAAAAAATTATTGGTGACAAAGTAACAGTAATTCGACAATGACATAAACAAAGTAATAACAAATTAAACGATGAATAAATGAAATCTAATACTAAGCAATACAGATACATCAGAGAAATGAGTAGTAAATTAAATAAATAAGATGTGGTAATTGTTATGGTTTGAGGCAGGGTGGTCCTCTATCTCCCTTCTTTATAATCTAGCCCTGGAAGAGGCTATTGGTTCTATTCGAACAAATTCAGGAGGAACAATCTACAATCTCAAAATCTGGTACATGCCGACTATGTTCCCATTGTCTCTAAAACTCTAGCAGCATTATCAAGAAAGTTCCAGGAATTCAAAGGAGCAGCGGCTAATCTGGATCTTATAGTTAATGGAAATAAGACGGTGTATATGAAAAGTTTAAAAATGGAAAAGGAAGTGAGTACGGAAATAGCTTCAAGGGATCACAACTTTAGGTATGTTAACCAGTTCAAGTACCTTGGAAGCCTTGTCACATGGAATAATAAAATAGAGTGGATAGCAGCGGGAAATAGATGCTATTCCTCAATGCAAAGAGACTTGAAATTCAGATCACTCTCTAAAAGAATTAAAATCTTCATCCACAAAACCATAGTAAGACAAGTGATTATGTATGGCTGTGAGACTTGAACCTTGACGAAAACCGCAGAACGCACGCTCAGCTCCTGAGAGAGGAAAGTATTGATAATAATATGGGACGGGATCTTTGAGAATGGAATTTGGAGAAGAAGAAAGAATGAGGAGATGCGGGAACCTTATGGTGAACCTTATATTGCGGCATTAATAAAAAGAGCCGGAATCAGATGATTAGGTCATGTGGAAAGGATGTCAGAGCAATGAATGCCAAAGAGGATAATGCATGAGAAGCCGAATGGCAAAAGAAGTAGTAAGCGCCTTTGGATCAGATGGTTGCAGGATGTGGAGAACAATCTGAGGCGGCTGAGCATTTGAAGAAGGACGGAAGTAGCAAAAGACCGAGGAGATTGGTTGGCTGTAGTGGAGGAGGCCCGGGTTCTTGCAGATCCGTAGCGCTATAATAATAATAATATGATGACAAAGATTACACGTTTAGTAGAAATAAAATGAACATAGAATGATGAAGAGTATAGAATAATAATGATGACAAGTTGAGAATAAAATATATGAATTTATAAACTCCAAAGTAGAAAATAGTGAGATATATTGATATGAACAGAAACTCATCTGGTTTTGTACACAGTAGTTTATACACAGTTAAGTAACAATATACAGGGTGTCAGGATGTTCTTAATGCGTATCCACGTGATTAGCGGGTAGGTAGTTTTTGCAAGTGGTATTGGACCTCAGAAGGATTAACTGCTTTAGGTGGTAAGGAGAACGGGATGGGTGAATTAAAGAATTCCTTTATTGCTGGCGTGTGGGTGGGATTGGATTCCTCAGCTTTTTCTTCATCAGACTCTGCCCAGGAGCCATCGCATCGACGGAGGCAATGGGAAATATTATGGGATTTCAGGATTTTGTTGGTGATCTTTGATAGAGAATTGTTGTGAACAGAGAGGGAAATAAGGTAAAAGTTGAAGGATTAAGATTTGAAGGTGGCCAATTCCTGCTTTAACCGTTTACTGAAATAATTATAATCGGCGATCGGTGGGGTGTCTTGAACGTTGTCATAATAGTTTTCAGCAATCGGAACGTAAATAAGAAAAAGTCAGATACTGCTAGTCATATAATTGATATTCCCTGAAATCTCATTCCGGTTTAGATGGAATTAAAAAGATATGGAATCCTCAACGAAAAAAATTAAAAACGTAGTTTCTGTAGTGATTTACAATGCATTATCAGCTAAGGAATTAATATATTTAAAATATTAATACAAAAATTATCTTCAATCTTAATCTTCTATTTTTTTTTTCTGTTCAACACAAGCTTAGCAAGTTTGTTCCATCTCTGCCTGTCTTGGGCTATTTCTTTCCATTTATCTGCACGCAGCTCTGTTGTAGCTGTGATTGATTCTATCTATCCATCGGCTTTTTTGCCTTTCACGTGGTCTTTTGCCTATTGAGGCATTCATTGTTACGTAGAGGCTTATAGATGGATTTCTATTGGCTACATGCCCCGCCCATCTTAATCTCCGTGCCTTCATATCAAATTGGATATTGATTGGCCAGTTTCTGTAAGAAGTTCTTTATTGGCGTTTCTTTTCCATGTGTAAGTACTCTGATCCCAGATCACTCCGGTTATCTTGCGGGAGATTTTCCTCTCAAATCTTTCAATACTTTTTTCTAGGGTGCTGGTTAGTGTCCAGGTCTCACAGCCGTATATTAGAACTGACATTGTCATATCATTGTCACCCTTACTTTCTAGAGATTTTTGGGGATTTAAATAACTTTAAATGCAGAAGAAAGCTCTGTTTGCGCTTATACGCTGGTATATTTCCGACCGTTGACCATTCATTGAGGTTATTGTGGAGCCGAGGTTTTTGAGTTTTTCTACTCTCAGGAATGATTTTCCTTCTACGCAGATCCGTTATTAGGTGGAATTTTTGACATTTTATCGCATGTTTCTTTTTGTCTTTATTTACTTTTAGGCCGATTTGCTCTGCTTCTCTTATCAAAGTATTTGCGAATTTCTCAGTGTCCTATTGATTACTCCCAAAGACAGCTATATTATCTGCATATTCAAGAATTTTACGATTCATTCCGGCTTGGATTCCTCCATTTTCGTATGATGTTGTTCTTATCGACTTCTTCAGCGCTAACTGGATAGCCCATCTCCCTACTTTAACTCCAATCTAACATTAAAGGCTTCTTAGCGAAGATTTTCCCAGAGAGAGAATCACTTTATTATCATAAAAGGGTGTTGCACAATTACATTGGGTTGCTTTAAACACAGCATACTTATTAATCACTACAGACAATTAACCAAAACTAATATACAATTGTATAGTATTAACAATATGTATGCATAGTATACAATTTTTTTATATATATTTTTTTTATTATAATTTTTTCTCTTTTTCTCATTCCCTAGATTCTCTCCTCTCTCTTCCTAACCTAATTTATAAAATGCATACAAATACATAAAGTGCAGCGGACGTGGTCAATAAATAATGTAAAAATGCTGTAAAACACGCATGCCTCCCCCCATGAACAAACTCTCACTCTATCCATGCACATGGTGGTGGATGATTCCCAGAGAGTCGAGAACTATATTCTCCGCCAACCTTGCCACGTCCTTTATGTCGACACCAAGGCCCTCCATGAAGCTCCTTGTTGAGTCTGGTATCGTTCCGCGAGCTCCGAACCAAAGGCTTCTCACGTGGAACTCTCTCGGCCCGAAACTCCCGCGGAACTTTTCACTAAGGAAAGGAATACATTTATCATAGGTATTTTTTTTCTCCCTTTCCACTTTGCCTACCTGATCGAGATCATTGGTCTCATACCTCACGGTAGGATCCAAAATCATCGGCGACTTTCTCCTCTTAGAGAATGCTACAATGTCGGCATATCGGGTGGATCTATACAAGAAACATGTATTACTATCGAAACAAGCGTAATCTCTCTCTCTAAGGAGTCTTATCAGTTCATGTTTGACTCTGTGGTGACGGCGTGTAATACGGAGGGAGTTGTTGGGGCATTTTCCAAGCACACGTGCGGGTGTTTCTGGCTCTCTGTCGCATTTGTGAATTCGAATTAAAAAAAAACAAAACAGAGAGGGCGGAAATATCGTTTCGCCATCCAATATTTCAAAGAGCAAAAATAAAATCAAAATCAATAACTATTAATGTACATGAATGGGTTCGGAATTGAACTCTAACTGCTTCATAACCAATTTGTAAAGTTTGAGGAGGTTGGGGGGTAGAAAAAGTTATAATGTAATTATGTGTTAATATTTCGTTTTCATTACTTTTAGATTGAATTCTAATTACATCTTTGATTATCGGCTGTAATTCTTTTTTAATTTCATCTGTTTCCAATATATTGGAAATCTAAACACCGGATTACTACTTTGCTAAAGTTATGAGTATTGTGCGGTGTTATCTCAACTGTGTTGGGACCGAAAGACGTTACGGATAATATTTTGTTTATTTAATGTCCGCTTATTGTTTCGATCAATAAAAATCCGTCTCTTAATTTTTTAACATTTCCCACTTAACCTGTAATGGTTTTCTGTATAAAAAAGGCAATTTTTTTTTTTAAATCCTATGTATCTCACCTTTTCGCTACTAGATAAGTAGGTATTATATTTTCCGTTTTTTGAGGAAACATTTTATCAGGAGGGAATTTAATTCGATTCCGAGCCCTTATTTATTTTGGGGGTTAGAGAGTTCTTAATGTTCCGAAGACTCCCCCATATTTCAATATAAATATAGAAAAACAAAAAGAATGTATGTCAGAGAAAAAAAAAATAGTATTAATAATGCTATAAAGTAAAATTAAATTAATTTTTTTTTAAAAATAATATGATGAAAAAGGAAACAAAACAAATCAATGCAATATATTAAAAGATAAATCTTATCTGTTAGATCAAGTACGTATTACTGCGACTGTCCCAGCTTAAGACTAAAACGTAACTGAATACAATTTACTGTTACAAAACTTTTATTTTTTGTTTTTCCATCATTTTGGATGTATTATAATAAATACAATAGCCTAAATACGCTTTTTATTTATAAAAATAATGTTTTTTTTCAAATATTTTTTCTGTTAAGATAATATGAAAATATGTTTTCACCCAGATATCTATTATTAGAAATGATCCGTATTATAAATGACTAAATAAATGTTCATAACCCTCATATTTACGTTTTTATAAATGTAATTGAAGTAATTATTACGTTTTTAAAATTTTAAATGCAAATTTTAGAAATAGAAAAATTTAGTTTTCACTTTTAAATATGAATCAATTTCTAAATTACAGATCAACTAACGTAATAATTAATTTTTTAAATTAAATTTACACATCAACTGACGTTATAATTAAATTTTTTAGTACTCAAAAAAGGTCAGTATTTGAATGAAATACTTAGTATTTGGTACTCAAAGTACTCTATGCTTACGGGACACCCTGTATTATAAATAGACTACATGTGAAAAGAAAATAAAAACCATTAACTTAATGGATAACAAAATAAGATTTATTTATATGTGCATAACTAGCCTATCAGAACATAGGCCGTTGGCTGCAACATTAATACATGTATTATACTTTGTGCATTGAGTATATTAACAATTACATTGACATATATACATGATAATTGACATATTAAGAATTACACTAAACTAACAATTCCAAGGAGTATAAACAAATTAAATAAAGTTATAAGTTATGAGCACTGTTTCTTCTCTACATCCAAATAGCTTTGGTCAACCTAAGAAGAAGAATTAGTACATTTTTAATGAATGACTATAAATAAAAATCTAATCACTGGATAAATTAACTTACTGTTTTTGTTTTCCACAACAATAAAGGCCATTTAAGCAACAATTAGTTCCGTAATAGCAGAAGGTCATGGCGGTGCATCGCTTCATTCCAACAGGCACTGTGTATTGAATATTTAATTAAAATATCATCATTATTTATCAAATAAAAATATAAGATGTAAGTCGCGCATTATGATTGACAGATATTTGCAAGCTTACAATTTGTTTTGTTTATAAGATCTTTAAACAGATATTAAAATGATCTCGGAAACAATAGGTTAGTTTTATTAATTGTTTTTTTTCTTTTTACCAACTCCCAAGCTGCATTCCAATATATTCTAATATAGCCGTTCCAGTGGGTGGGAGGGACGCCACGGACTGGGGAAAAGCATTAAACTCAAATCATAAGGAACCCGATTTAAATGAGACGACTTAGAAGAAATGTGTAGTAAAAACGTTTTTATAACACATATATTCAAATAAAAAAGCCCTCTTGGTATTAAATAAATAACGTCACGTACTTATATCATACTATAGTACTGTAGCCCAACATAAATATCTACTTTTTAAAAATATTTAAGAGAAAAGAAAGTGAATTTATGCGAAAGAATATCTTTCATGTCTATTTGGGAAGATCAGACAAATGTAAGTGAAGTTTCGGTTTCGCAAAGCCTTTATTATTATTGTCTCTCACGCTCTTTTTAAGCATCAGTTAATAGGCTATTAGTGGATTTGGAATGGAGTAGGGGGCACCCAGTAAATTCTCGCTCCGGGCGCCAAAAACCGACACTCAGTACCGCGAAAACATTGAGAAGCCCCAGTACCGTGAGTCAAAATCTTAAAGCTAAATCATAAGCATCAAAATGATTATTGAATACCATCCGATGATTCTGAATGAAGTAAAAGATTGGATGCAGTGTAAGCATAGATTAAAAAATATGCTAACAGTGGTAGAGGAACCATCTTCATAGATTGGATATACAAATTGAAACTAACAATTGTACATCATCTCTTTTCAATTATTTAACATCCAAGTATTGCTCAACAACTGATGGTTATCTGGTCAAAACATAATAAACGTGAGGAATTTTAATGCATTGCCTAGAAAAGATTTGATAACATGGAAAATATTTATTTCATGTGTTGATTTTGTATGTTGTCCCAAGCCGTTTATCTTAAAATTGTTCGGAATTCTGCATTTGCAGATTTAAATGGAAGATATTGATAACAATGGATTTCTGTGCATTAAAACACTTAATTTACACTGTTTCTTTATGATTAAAAAAAAAAAAAGAAGACAATATATATATATATTTATGTGTAACTTCCGTAGAGCAGTTGGATTCATTTTCTCCAGATGGCCACACAGTGGGACGAGTAAGGAAAAACCTGCATCAATGACCAAATTCTGAATTATAATATAATGCCTTTATAATATGTGTTATTCGGGCTTTGAAGTATATCATAGTCTGTTTTAAAGAAATTGTAAATAATTTTAATGAATCTGCTCCTAAGTTTGGGTACTTCAAATTATATGACGCGAAATTAGATGTTTTTAAAATAGTTTTCTACCCGATTATAGTTCTATTTATACTATCATTTATATGTTTTATATAATTACATTGTATTCAGAAGGGTTTAAAACAAAAACGAGTATAACACGAATAACGAATCTTATTATGTAAGTAATTTTCGGTTTTATTTTTTTTCATATTGAATCAAAAACCCATGTTATTAGAATATAACTTAAGGTTATGTTGCTAACGTTTCAAGCTACTTTTGTGATTGTCCTGAATCTTTTTGCTTGAAAAAAATTTTTTTTTTATGTAGAAGTAGTCATTTTAGCTGTTCCAAATATTAGTGACGCTTAAGTACAAATATGTTTAGTAAGGAATTGTATGTGTTCAATTTCTATCTTAAGTTTTAATTTCCTAACACAGTCATTAGCACGTATGCCGATGATACATGTGTCCTATCAGTTAATAACGACCTAACAATTGCATCCCAAACCCTTCAATCACACATCACAAACCTTGAAGAATGGTGTCAAAACTGGAGAATAAAAATAAATTCCAATAAATCCCATCAAATCACCTTTACCCTTCGTCGTAAACCTATGTCCTCAGTATCTTTTAATAATATCCCACTTATCCCTGTTGAACAAATTCGATACCTTGGACTCCACTTGGACAAACGTCTAACTTGGAATCCTCATACCAGACTGAAACGACAAGAAACAGCTCAACGTTTCCGACTACTCCAGCACTTACTAGACAAACCTCCCAGTCAATTACAAAAGACTCATACATGACTACAATAAGACCTATTTGGACTTACGGAGTTGAGCTCTGGGGCTCCACTAAGCCATCGAATTCTTCTCGTATTCAATCCTTACAATCCAAAATCCTTCGTAAAATCCTCACTGCTCCTTACTTTGTCACAAACAAAATCATCCATAACGACCTTAATGTTCCTTATGTTTCTGACCTGGCCCAATCCAGATACCTATCCTTCCATAACAAACTTCAGAACCATCCAAACCCTCTCGTTTCTAACCTTGCTTTCTCTTCGATCCCCGACAACCCTCAGAGGCTTCTGAAAAGAAGATGGCCTCGAGATCTCCTTTTGTAAATACATTTTTAGAGTGCTACCAATGGGTAGTTTCTCAACATGTGATTTCATGCTATTTTATTCCTTTGTTCACATTTACTGAATGCATTTTTACTTGTAATACAGTTGTAAATATCGTCAATAAAAAAAATAAAATAAAATTTAAAAAAAAGTTTTAATTTTGAGGGTTTCACGAAAAGTGAATTCAGATCTCTTAGTCTTTGATTTAGTATATATATATATATATATATATATTTTTATTTGATGTATGCCCAATTTAATCTTTCGGTCAAATTTATAACCAAGGTAGTGAACGGTGTCTGTGGAATGTGTGTATTGTCAAGAAAAACTGAAGAGGATTCTTCATGTGGAAGGGTAAATGTGATTTGTCTTGATTTAGTAAGATTTCACTAGAGTCTAGACCAGTCATGAAATCTTGTTAAATACTGTTTTAGAAACTGTGAGGCGTATGTAGGGCGGTTGTGATCCAGCCGGTTCTCTTTTTTCTGGCTAGCTTTTGGAAATTCTCTCCCTATCGGGAAGTGCGTAGGTTCCGCCTTTCGTCTCCATTTTTTCACGAACTTCACGAAGTGAGGGTATTTCTCCTCTTCCACCAGTTGTGGAAGATTCTCTCCATCTAGGGTGTATAGTCCCGTCCTCCGCATCAATATGCCTCTGGTTTGCTCCCTCGCGTTGCATGAGATAACCACATGCTCAGCCGTATCAAGGGTACCGCAATCAAGACATGACTGGTCGATGTTCTTCCCATTCTTCCTGAGTTTGTCGCTAAACCCACCATGTCACGTCTAGATCTGTGAGCTGCAATAGTCCTGCTCGACCCAGTGGCACTTCAATCTGGAATGAACGTTGGGGAAATACTTTCTCAAGGTGGCTTCTTTCTCACTTTCAATTCACCACCCATTCCACTCCTGAAGTGTCGCCTCTCGGACTATGCCACTCCCGTATCCTCATGAATCCTCCGTTGAAGCCCTTCTGGGAATGCCTCTGCATACATATCTATAGCATGTTTGTTAATTCGATCTATCCATCTGATTTTCCGTCTTCTACGTTGGTTTTGAGAATGGTCGTATCTTTATGCCACCCCCTTCTTAACCTCCTAATCTTGTTTGATCTTACAGATTATTGGTCATTCTCCAATACTTATTACAAGACGGTCTTGATAATCCGAACACGTAGATTGTATGGCGGCATGTTCGGATTATGAAAGATTTAATTTAGAATGATGATAAAATTGCACAAGGTTACGAACATATTCTATCAATTAAATATAAACACATTACAATCAAGAAAATTATTTCTGAAAATGATCATACTATGTATGTTGAGTCTCGGATTTTGTTACTATAGATGAATGAATACACATTTTATTTGTTTTAGGGGAATGCTCCGAACAAAGAAGGCTGGTCACAATAATAATGAACACAATAAATTAATATTAAATACATTTCAAACTATTATATGAACTTATATACTCTCCTAATAACAACCAAGCACCAGTTCGTATGCATAAACATGAACAATGAAATATAATACAATTCTAATAATAATATAACACAATAAAACATAGTAAGTAATAAAATGACGAATAATAATAAATAGTACATGTAAATATAGGCATAGTATACAAATATAGAATAGAATAGAAAATTGAACTTTATTCTAGGACTAAGTCCCCTTAGAATAACAGTGATGTATTAATAAAAAAGAAATACAAAAACTAACTTATAAGAATTCTAACATTAAATACATTATTTAAAAAATAATATGTAAACACTAAAAAATAAACAAAAAATTAAATAAATAAACATAAAATCTTCTCAAAATTACTTATTATTGTGATGAAAAAAGAACAACATTAAAAAAAAAAAAAAAGAAATTACATATTTATATGTATATCACTGCACAATTTATAAACAACAGATGAACTTATAAAGAGTTAACTTAATACAAAATGTAAAAGGCGAAAGATTTATTTGTTTTGAAAGGACACCAGAGGCTTTATCTCTAGCTCCTATTCCTAAATCTTCTCTACCGTCCTTCATCAGAGGCCCAGTTAACTGGAAACTTTCACCAAATCCTTTCCGATAAAATTGACCTCAGAATAACCCTGAAAACCCCAGACCTTGAAAATTCCGTACATTTTTTTTTTACCACCACTATCCAACAAGCAATCTGAACTGCTTCCTCTCCAAACCACTCCTCAACAACTCCCAAGAAAAATAAGTTACCTCAACACCTCATAGACCTAATCCACACCAAACGCCGTGCCAGATTATTATGACAACGTACTAGACACCCCACCTATCGTCAATCCTATAATTATTTTTGCAACCAATTAAAGCTAGAATTGGCCACCTTTAGATCCCAATCCTTCAACTCCTACCTTACTTCCCTCTCTTCTCATGACAATTCCCTATGAAAGATCACAAAACAAATCCTAAAACCCCATTATATATCACATCCTCTCCGTCGAAGTGATAGCTCTTGGGCTGCGTCTGACGAAGATAGACCCGAGGAATTCGCCAAACACCTTTCCCTTACATTTACCTCTCATCCGGAATACAACCCCCCTCCCCACCCACACGTCAGCAGTAGAGGAATTCCTTAATTCACCGATCCCACTCTCCTTACAGCCTAAAGCAGTTAATCCTTCTGAGGTCAAATACCACTTACAAAAACTACCTACCCGCAAATCACCTGGATACGACCTATTTACCTCTCAGATCCTTAGACAACTCCCTCCTAAAGCTGTTATATTCCTTACATACATATACAATAGCATCCTACGAACCACCCGCTTTCCTCTTTTATGGAAACATTCTACTATTATCCTATTATCTACTATTAGCCTACTTCCAATCCTTTCAAAAATCCTTGTAAAGATCCTCCTGAAAAGAATCCTACCCTTTATAGAATCTCAAAATCTTCCTTCACACCAGTTTGGATTCCGATCCCAACACTCTACAGTCCAACAAGGACTTCGAGTGGTCGATCATATTTCTGCAGCCCTGGAAAGCAAGCAATATTGCTCGGGTGCATTTCTGGGCGTAGCTCAAGCTTTTGACCGGGTATGGCACGCCGAGCTTCTTTTAAAACTTTAAATCCATCTACCTCAGTCCTTATACCTTGTCCTCCGTTCCTACCTCTCAGATCGTACCTTCCGAGTTCGTTGCGGCATTAAATTTTCAAATCGCTATCCAATTGTGGCTGGTGTTCCCTACTGTTGGTGCAAAAGGTTGTATGTAAAAATTGGTTGTTTTACAAGAAAGCATAAAAACTCATTATTTCTTTATGATTTATGAGTATAATTTTATAGTTTATTGGCCTCTGCTATTTTACATCTTAGAAGACTGCTTGTATCAGTAGCAAACTACAAATTATCACCTTTAGCACAAATAGAATAAAAGTTGAATATTTTGACATTAGACCTTTTGCACTAGCAGTAGTGATATATACTTAATAGGTATGTATTTACTTGT